TTGGTGCCTTGAGGCTTATACCTCATTTTGAGAAAGGCTTGGCAAAATCCAATAGCCTTCACCCCAAGGCCCAAGACAATGGTTTTGCATTTTGATAGAAACGAGAATCCAATTCGAATCTGGTATTAATTTGATATATCCAGTTCGAATAAGTTCTTCTAGTGTCATAATGGGCCCAAAGCACGGCCAATGATCATCCCCACTTACCAGCAAGCCCAACTGGTTCGTTCAATACTTTTTTATTGTTGGTAGATCTATATATATACAAAAGTAAAGCTTGCCATGTTAGCAGTCCTCTCCTTGCTCCGTTACCCAAACCGAACAATTATAGAGAGTGTGCAAGATTTCCTCTACAAGCACTAGGAGTTGTCATCTAATATGGTACTTTTTTCCTCTCATTTTTATTAGGAAATTAACTATCACCCACTTTCTCCTAAATTATCTCTAATTCCTATTTATCCTCTCTCCCACTTTTCATTTATATCTATCTAAAGAAAGTTTCAATTAAAAATTTAATAATTCTTTAAATATTATAACAAAATTATGTAATAACTTTAAAATATTTATTAAAAACACAAAAAATAATTATAATAGGTTTAATAATATTCATATTATTAATAATTCTATATTTTTATAAAATTCATAATGAAATTCTGTAATAAAAATATAAATTATAATTTTATGGATTATTCAACGTAATTACTAAATAATATTTTAAAAACATAAATAAAAATTATTTAAATAAAAAGTATTAAAATAGCTAAATAATTATGTAAAAAATATTTAAAATTACATAATGGCTTTAAAGAAATAAAATTTAAATAAAAAATATTAAATATTTTTACATTTTATTTGAATATTTAAATAGAAATGTTTAATAAAACTAAATTTTAAATAGTTAAAATAACAAAATTATGTAATAAATTAAAAAAATTCTTATGAGTAGAACAATAATTATAATAGATTTCATAACTTTTGAATTAATAGTAATTCTACATTTACAAAATAAAAAATGAAATTATGTAATAATAGTATAAATTATAGTTTCATGGATTATTAAATTTAATAAATAATTAATATTTTAAAATTTTAAATAATGGTATTATTTAAGTAATTAAATAATATTATAAACAATTAATTTTTAAATACTTTAAATATCAAAATACTAATAACTAAATCATATCTTATATATTATTTCAAAAACAAAAAATAGATTAGATAACAAAATTCTGTTATAACTTTAAAAAATTATCAAAATCACATAAATAATTATAACTAGCGGGGCCCCATGCAATGCACGAGATGTGGCACCCCTTCCTGTCCCTCACCCCCATAGTCAAGACACTACCTCATCCCCGGTGGAGGGCGGGTTGGAGGCGAGGCCCCCAATCCCCATCGAAGATGGGGGAATCCCCAAATTTTCCCCACCTCGAGGCAACCACCTAAAAATAATCTAATTTGTGGATATTTTACAAATAGGATTATGAGAATTTGGGGTATTTTAGGAATTGAATTATGACAATTTGGGGGTATTTTATAAATAGAATTGTGGGATCCTAGGATTATAAGAATATGAGGAAAAACTTAGTGATATTTTAAAAGTCAATATTAAATTTATTGATAGTTTACTAATTTATCAATGGGTTTGGGGAATTATATGCAAACCTCATCCCTTCCTTGTCCTTGATTTGGAGCAAAAATATTTTTCCCATCCCCACCCTGTCTCTTCCCAATCCTTATTTAAGATTCAAGAAAACTTGCCCTATTCGGGGTGGGTCAGGGTATTATTTATGTTTTATATATTATTTTTTAATAATTATTTATATTTTATATACAATTTTTAAATAAATTTTAAATATTTTTAATATAAAAATTTTAATATTAAATCATATTTTAAACATTATTTAAAAAAAAGATTAAATAACAAAATTTTGTAGTAACTTTAATAAGAATATAAAATATAATAAATGAAAAAAAATAAATATTATTGAAATAGTGGAAGTAGATTAAATAATTTGAAGGTATTAAATCTTTTTAGTTAGTTATTTATTGTATTTTCATTATAAATATATTTTCAGCAATTGTGTATTTTTGCTATAAATTTTCAATAATTATTGGAGATTAAACTATTGTTATTTGTTAGAAATTAGACCATTAATTTAGCTGAAATTAGGAGTGTTCACTAGCCAATTCAATTCAGATGGAGATTATTTGGCTAGTCAAACTAATCTAGTCGGGTTAGGGAGTTGGTTACTCAAAACTGACTAACCATTGGTCAATTAATAAATGTTTAAATTTTTAGTGTTTAGCATAATTTACATTAATCATTTGTAATTCAATAAATTTTCATTAAATTGGCCCAATTTACTAGTTTCTATAAAATCAATAATTATAGTTAACAATTATCAAATAATTTAGGGAAACTTTAACTAATAATCCATAATTTTTTAAATAAATAATAATTAAAAAATTAGGAAATTAATCTACAAAAAAATATTCACCAAAACTACTTAAATAATTGTTCATTATTATTATTCAACTAAATAATTATTAAAAATTTAAGGAAAATTAAATTAGGAAATTAATCTATTAGAAATTGTTTCATTTTTATTTAAATAACAATCAATTATTATTATTTTAATAAATAATTATTAAATAATTTAGGAAAATTATTAAATTTATCCCCACCAGTCTAGGATACTTGGTTGACTTCAACCATACTTGGGTTTGCATTAATTAACAACAAATGATTTACTTTTAATTAAAATTCATGTAATTTACCATAATTACATTAATTTACTATAATTACATCGCTTTGATTAATAGTAAATAATTTTGGCTTAAAAAGAAATAATTTACATTAATTCACATTAATTTATTGTTATTATAAATAACTAATTTACTATAATTTTTTGCTAATCAACAACAATTTCAATAATTTTTTGGAAATTATCATAAAATATTGTAATTTATTATTATTTAATTTACTGTTAGTTAATTAGTTATAGAAAATTATTAGAATTGTAGGGATGACAACTTTCCCTATAAAATTAGGGCCCTAACTTTCCCCACCTGAACGGGACAAGTTTTCTCGAATTTTAAATAGGGATGGGGAGGAGACAAGGTGGGGACGAGAAAAATATTTTTTCTCTAAATCAAGGACGAAGTTTGCATATAATTCCCCAAACCCGATGGTAAATTAGTAAAATATTAGTATATTTAATATTGACTTTTAAAATAGCTCTAAGTTTTCCATATATTCTTATAATCCTAGGATCCCACAATTCCATTTATAAAATACCCCCAAGTTGTTAGAATCCAATTCCTGAAATACCTCCAAATTCCTATAGTCCTATTTATAAAATATCCACAAATTAGATTATTTTTAAGTGGTTGCTTCGGGGTGGGGAAAATTGGGGATTCCCCATCCTCGATAGGAAATGGGTGCCTCGCCTCGAACCCACCCTACCACTGAGGACGAGGCAAGAATGGGGTAGAGTGTCTTGACTATGGAGGCGAGGGACAGGGAGGAGTGCCCCATCCCATGCATCACACGGGGTCCCACTATTAACATACTAAAACCAAAAAGTGTGATCCATGGATCCGTGGTCACATAACTCACAATCCACAAATTTTATCAAAAATGGCTAAATTGCTGAAACCTTCCTTGAAGTATCTGGTTGTTGCTAAAACCTCCCTTAAAGTAATGATAATTGCAATTATCTCCCCAAAACTTTCTGATATAGTTACAAGCAGATCCTCTTTGTTAGAATCTTGTAAAAGGAAGTATGAAAATGTCCTAAATACTCATGCATTAACTTTTGACCAAAATGTTTATTTTCCAAATTTTCTCTTCATGAGAATCCTTGGCCCAAACACTTCCATTGATCCAATCTCTTTTTTCTGAAATTATTTATTTTCTAAATTTGCCCTTCAAATCAATCGCTCAAAGCCAAAGGTAATGCTTCAACTTTAAATTTTCTATTTTTTGTTGTTTATTATAAAAGTTGTATTATTTTTTTTATAGAAACCAGTCTCAATAATAATTGTATGAGTATTTTGGACACTTTCGTGTATCTTGTTAGAAGATTCTAAATTCTACAAAAGGGGAGAAGATTCTAAGGGTGTCAATGGATTGGTTTTGGATTGGACCCCACCTAGTCCAAAATCAATTTGAATGGATTGGACGGACCAACAAGACATATTGGACTGGAACAATCACGTCTAAAATATATTTTAGATTGGATTGGACCTGATCCATCCATAACAAATTTATGGATTAGGTTAGATTAAGCCAATATCTGGTCCATTGGTATAAGATAAGAATATGTGTCAATAGACCGGGTTTAGACTGAAACCAATTTAAATCAAAATGAATTTGAATAGATTGAACAGTTCAGACATTGAATAGACCGGTCCAAACTCCAAAACATTCATTGGATTAGATTGGACCTGGTCCACTTATAATGGACTCACATTTGGACTGGATCGGATTGGACCAAATCCAGTCCAATTGACACGCTAGAAGATTCTAAGTTCTAACAAAAGGGGTTTATGGTCCAGACATTGAATGGACCGGTCCAAACTCCAAAACATTTATTGGATTAGATTGGACCTGGTCCACTTATAATGGACTCACATTAGACTGGATCGGATTGGACCAAATCTAGTACAATTGACACGCTAGAAGATTCTAAGTTCTAACAAAAGGGGTTTAATTATAATTGCATCGAAAAGTTCAGTTAAATTACAATATCAAACTTCAGGAGAGAGATTTCAGTAATAGTTAAAAACTTGTGAGGGAGGAGGTTTCAGCAAATCACAAACCAGAACAACGAGAATCTTGTCCTACCAATCGTAAGATCTACTGCTCTGTCGCGCTGACGTGGATTCGTCGTGTCCGAAAAGTCAGCGATATGTCAAAATTAAACCCGATACCGAAATAACAAATTACAAACCCAATCCTTGGAGCTGTAGCTTTGCCTTGCCTCTCTGTTATCTACTTATTTTCAATTCAATTCAATGGGAACCATCGCTTGTTGTACTACTACCAAGGTTTCTCGTTCACCACGCCTCTCAGAGCTTAGCTCTTTACCTGCTCTTAGCTTAATTCTCCCGAGAGCTTCGTTTCTGCTCTTCCGAAACCTTTACTTCACACCCAGACCCAGATTACGAATGGCGTCGCCGCTCCAGGTCTCTGCATCATCTACAGTTGGTCAGTACTTTATCTCTCTCTCTCTAATTATTGTCTTAATAGTGGCATATTGTCACTGGTTAATTGATTTTTTTTTTTTTCATAAAATGATCTATTAACTTGAAATTGTTGTGTAGTGTGTGGAATTGATTCGTATTTGTTATAATATCTTGGGTGTCTCTGTGATGGGATTACTCTGAAAGTTTCTTTTTAGGAGAGGTGCACTAATTAAAGTTACTGATTGACGTAGGTGTATCACAAGAAGGACTGGAGGATTCGTCTCCCGGTTTGGTGGGGGAAAATGATTTGCTGATTGTTGGACCAGGCGTACTTGGGCGCATGGTGGCAGAGCAGTGGAGGAAGGTATTTATTAAGAGAAATTTTGAGACACAACTTGACTTTCTCTTACCTGATGTATTGAATTTGAATCTGAAGTTAGAAATTAGGACGAAATGGGATAGATTCAGTCATCCAGATGCATACCAGGTTCTTAATTTCTTTTTTTAACAGGAACATCCAGGTTGCCAAATTTTTGGACAGACGATGACCACGGATCACCATGATGAATTGATTAAACTTGGGATAGATCCATCTTTAAGGGAAACAAGAGCAACTCAGCAGTTTCCCTATGTAATTTTCTGTGCTCCTCCATCCCGGACTGTGGACTACCCTGGTGATGTCAGGTGCCTGTACACTTAATTTAGTTCCTTGTTTTACATTCGAACAAATCTAAAACATTATGTTCATAACCCTTTTTTAAAGCATAGTTGCTCAGAGACACAAACAAACACACACTCACATTCTTTATTCATGAATACATGTAGATGCATCTTTACTTCTGCTGTTTGTTTTCTTTATAATCGTTTGATTTAAGCAATTGCCAAATACCTAGTTCCTAGTATTTGTCTGAACACCAAGGTAATTAAAGTACTGCAATTGCATAAATGATGCCTAGACAACCAACTTGCCAAACCAGGGTCCTTATTAATTCCATTAGGCTACATGAGGACTTTCATGATTCAGGTAGATGTCTTCTCAAGCAATTGTCTATCTGAATTTGATGGTTGAACTCAATGGTGTATACCATGAAAGGACATAAGGAAATGGCTTGAATAAATTCCTTTTGTTGCGACTGAAAAGTCAATACCATCTTATTTTTCAACTGCTAGATTCTGCTAGCATAACATATCTAGGTTGTGTATAGTCTTATGAGGTCATTCTTTGCTTCATTTTTTGCTCTATTACTTGCTGCAAAAGAGAAAGGATGAAAGGTGTGACCAGGTATTACTATAAATCATTTTCATCATGATTATTATACCTTGTTTCAGCTGTTGGGTCAGCACAAGGAATCTTGTTTCACCCTACTATTTTATCCATGCGAACTGGGAATTCCACCTCATCAATGACACTATGCCTTCACTTGACACTAGAGTTACTCTTCATGGTGTTACATTTGTTGTTGCTGTGTGGGTAAATTTTCTTGGATTCCCGTTAATGCATAATTTAGCCCATGCTTCTCATCATTTTCCAGGGAGTATTTTGGTGAAAAGAGAGCATTTTCTCACTATTTTCTTTTAAAAATAATTAAGAGTTGAAGAAGTTCAGTTGGTATTATTCATAAGTGGCATTGTGATATACATTCACAACACATCTATGGCTAATCTAGAAGGCCGTCTATTAGATTGTTGCTCCAGGATTGCTCTTTCAACCATCCAATTGCCAGAAAATAACTTTCACTGTGGTCATTAAATCCAACTGGAACAGAAGAGAATACTTTTTAACTTGGATCCCTAAACTTGTATGTACCCATTCTAATTAAATTTTGCTAAACTACTTTGGTTAGTGGTGTTCTCCTTATAAAAAGATCTATGCTGGACAAATGCCTATTATCAAATCTAGAACAGCTAATAGGTTCTTCATTTTTTATGTAAGTGCTGCAGCAGCTGCCCTGCTACTGGTGGGAAAACCTGCCATATAGGTCGATCTCATGGGCCCAAGGTTGCATAGATAGCACTATTTTGTGCCTACCTTCAGACTTGGGGCCAGTGGACCAGATATGTAGAGCTGTAGAGGTGCTGGGGATAGATTAACTGTTTAGTAAATGGCCTTAGAACATATTTTTTTATAACATAAGAACATGTTTTATGTTAGGGAGAGAGAGAGAGAGAGAGAGAGAGAGAGAGAGTTAAGTAGTTTGATCTGAATGAGAATTTTTGTTATTTCTCTTTTGCTAGGAGCCTTTTATAGGCTACATCATCAAGATTCCATTCAACAGTTACAACAAAATGTCATGAGACTTGACATGGCTTACTCTTATATACTTGCATGAACCTGGGATCATCCAGGGTATCCAGAGCCTGATATGGTGTAGGCTTGCTACTGAGAGATCAAGCTGGGCTTGGGCTTCTAACACCTATCATTAACTATATAATTATCACAGTTAGGAAGTCTTACTGAAGGTTATTTGTATGAGACTTGTATCCTTATAAAACAGCATGGACTGCACTAGATAAATTGCCATTCCACTTGAATTCTCAATCTGAAAGCCAAGATTTATCCTTACAAGCATCTCATCTGTGGGGTCCATAACCACAACCACCCCTAGGGCATGTCAAAACAAAAAGGTGGCTCCCTTAAGTACATTGATGAGATAGGTATTTAGGAGATATTTCAAGTTTCCTTTAATGAGGGTGGTCAGTGGAATTTTTAAAATTGTAACTCTTTTCTTCAGCCTTTTATTATGGATCAATCTCTATTGTTTATTTAAAGCTCTTACTGTCTCTTGGGAGATCATAAGATTGACTAACTCTAGTCATTATTCTAGAAATTTACTGTTTCGAGTAAAAAACTGTTGAGATTGAGCTGATAACATTTGTTTTATTTATAAAGTTTAGTTAGAGAACTATTGAGCCCAAGGCCCATTAGTTTATGTTTAGTAAGAGTGTTCACTTATGTTTTTAGTAGTAAGGGTATACTTCATTATTCTAGAAATTTACTGTTTCGAGTAAAAAACTGTTGAGATTGAGTTGATAACATTTGTTTTATTTATAAAGTTTAGTTAGAGAACTATTGAGCCCAAGGCCCATTAGTTTATGTTTAGTAAGAGTGTTGACTTATGTTTTTAGTAGTAAGGGTATACTTGTCATTGTATTCAATTTTATTTATGAGTATATAAGATAATGAAAGGGGTGGCCAGATCTGATTTTTTTTTTTGGCTTCTCCCCATTCTCTTCAACCTCTCTCTTCTTCTCTTATCTGCAGTCTTTTCTTTTTCTTCTTTCTATCACAGATTTCAAATCAGATCAGATCTTTTACACTTTCTACTTGGTATCAGAGCAACTTTAGGAATTTTTTTGAGTTATTCCATCATGCAGATCTAGATCAGCCGACTGCATGATGAGTTAAAGAGCTGATCGAGGACTTCAAGATAGCCCAGTTTTTGGATTTTTTTGGTGGATCTACAATCCCTTGTAGTAGGTCTAGGGTTTATCACCAAAATCAAGAAGAACTGGAGAAAGGGGAAGAATCTTGATTGCAGTAGGACTCTTCAATTTTGACCTAGGAAGTGGTGCTCCAGGTTTTTTGGGTTTCTAGGTGTTTTCTGAAGAGGGCGGTTCAAGTCCCAGGTTTTTTGGAGGTCTCTGGAGGGAGCAACAACCCCTTCTCTTCCTTCTACCTGCTCCCTCAGAGAAGATAATCTTGGTGGGAGGGGCTTCTGGGGTATTAGGAAGGTGTTTGAGGCTTCTAAAGGGGGATAAAACTTTTTCTTTTCATCTCCAATTGATTTCCTAATCTGTTCTGGGTGAGGATTGTGGAGTTGAATACAAAATCTACAGGTGAAATGGGACTAGGTGGAGGGAGGTACTAGTAATCTTCATATTTATAGTAAATACGTATTTACTATTCTTAGTAATTTTTAGTTTTCTTATCTTAGGTTAGAAAGTGGTTTCTTATTTTGGATATTTTTCTCTTGCATAAAAAATCTTTGATGAATATGATAGTGTTCTCACAAAGCACTTGCATATGAAAGAGATTGATCACCTTTCTAACAGTCAATAGCATGTGACGGTAATAACAGTTTTCTTTTAACAGATACTTCCTTTCATCTAGCCTATGAACACTCACTGCATCTTTTGTCTTGATTCTCATTATTCTAGGACTTAAAAATGATGCTTAAGTTGTTATTAAGAATGTTTCTAAGATGAGATTACAAGAATTGCAGTCATATGCTGGTGGTTGATTCATGACTCTATGACACTAGTGCACATGTCATTTCTCCGCCTTATTTTATCAAATTTCAGCATTAATTTGGTGTATGAAACAATGTGCAGGTTGGCTGCATCAAACTGGAATGGCAAAGGTTCTTTCCTATTTACATCAAGTAGTGCCCCATATGATTGCTATGACAATGGATCTTGTGATGAGGTGTTACATCTAATATAACAAATTGTTTAACTGGTAACAATATTTATTTTTGTGTTACGTCCTCTTTGCACTTGATAAAGTGGTTTTGCACCATAGTCTTTAAAATGCCCTAGGGATTTTCAAGCTAATGCATCACCCATTTGGCAGTTAAGCACTGATACTTGATTTCAGACCAGCATGACCTAGTTCACAAAAAAATGTTCTTTACAAGTTTCTATTTGCATGATAAAGATAGGGGGAAGTGAAGTAGTTTTTTAGTAGATTCATAATAGTATGTTTTTTCTTTGGGGATGGTGTTGGGGGTTGAGTTGACCTGATTAATCTTCAGATATTTTTTAGTAATAAATGCTTTGGCCTGTGACAATTAATATGGGGATTAAATTGCTTATTGACTTGAATTGACTGCTAATTCAAGTCTTTTTAATTGAAAGATGTTTCTCTCGTTTCTCTAACCATTTGTTATGATTTATGAATACTTGAGTATATCTCTATTTTCCAGTTTGTGAAACCGGTGTGCTTTACTTAAAGATGAAAATATGTAATTCTTCATGTTTATTTGGTGGAAGAGTAAAAAGTAAATAACTATACTAATGAAGACCAAAACAAGGCAAAAAAGGCAACCATAGTTGCTATTTGTTATCTGCATGTACATACAAGCATGCTTATTTTTGTTCTTTTATGTTTTTATCTTTTTTTTTATATTTTTCTTTGCTAGGTGGGTTATGGTATTTTCTGAGAGATTTCGATGCCATTGAAAAACTTGACCTTATAAGAAACACCTCATTCAAGTGGATTGGAAGATCAGCAAACATTTAGTAAATGCATTTGCAAGAGAGGGAGCAAATTAGGTTGATTTGAATTTGGGCTCTGCCCTTCTGGGGTAGACTGCAGTAGACTTTTGTGTATTTTGGATGGACAAGTTTTGGAGACTGCTTCAACTTCTGAAGAGTACTTTTTAATTTCTTGTACTATTAGCATTTAATATTTTAATAAAATTCTCATCAATTACTAATTAAAAGAAACATCTGGATGACCTGTTTAGAGAACTTTTTCCTATAATATCAATAAATTAGATAACCTGAAAAAAAATATGCTCATTTTTTATTCTTGGAAAAAAAAGTATTTCAGATACTGTGTATGGTGGTGGTTTAAGTTATACTCAAATGGTTATGCAGGACTCTCCAGTAGTTCCCATAGGAAGAAGCCCTCGGACAGATGTCCTTTTAAAAGCAGAAAGTGTGGCACTGGAGATTGGTGGTTGTGTTCTTAGACTATCTGCACTTTACATATCCTTACCTTGTGCCAACCATTAGCCTTCATTTCTATCTGGATCTTGCATGGATGAATGGTGAAAGTTTAATATTTACTGTGAACTAGTTAGTGTTTCCTTGACTGTTTATACAAAGCAGATAAAGGTGCCCATGTTTATTGGCTGGAGAAAGGGAGTGTAGAAGTTCGTCCAGATCACATTCTCAATCTTATTCATTATGAGGTTATTATCATCATCCTTACTCTTCTTTCTTCTTCTAGTTAATGAATTATGGCTACTATACTGAATTCTATATATAATCCTTGAAACTTCCATTGTAATTGTTATGAGCTTTCAGAATGACAAATTTGTCATAATTTACATATCTGACTTGTAACTTGCATGACAGGATGCAGCATCCCTTTCAATTGCAATTTTAAAGAAGAAATTCCGTGGTCGGATCTTCTTGGGCTGTGACAATCATCCTTTATCCAGGTCTTGTGGCTAGGCTGCCTTTGAACTGCCTTTTTAGTTCTTACCATGCCAATTTCAGATACAACTTAGAAACAAGAGAAGCAGGATCAATTTTCTTTATCTGTTTTTTATCTGAGACCTGCTGCCATACCTCCTCTTTGCAGGCAGGAAATAATGGACTTGGTGATCAAAAGTGGGAAGTTCAGCAAAAAGTTTGAGGGTTTTACAGGCAAGTACCTAACTGAAGTTTAGATGGAAATATCCTAAATTTTAGAATAGGAAAAAGGTTTCTAAGTAGGGAGCTTCCCTGCACAACCCCACACCTATTTGTGTCATCTGAATAAATGCTGTGGCTGATCTAACTCATCCATCAGAGGGCCCTCTAGATTGGCCATGTGTTCATTCTCTAGGTCTACCTGAGGTCCTGAGCTTTATACTTGACCTTGTATAAGAGTTTTGCCCAGTTAATAATAGCTGTCCAAAATTTTAATTTTTCTTTTTATTCAAAATCTTGTGAACATAGGTTTGAAAGTCTTTTTTCTTTTCACTTTATTTTCCAACAGACTGAAGGCCAGGGCTTTAATTTCTTGTGTTGCAGGCACTAATGATCCTTTAGGAAAGAGGTTAAATAACTCAAAAACTCGTGCAGAAATTGGATGGGAACCAAAATATCCAAGCTTTGCTCAATTTCTTGGACTACAAGAATAACTGCAGCTTCTCTCTTTATTTTCAAGATTTCTTTCAATCAAGAAGCAAAGGAATAGGTTTGGTTGCATTGAGACCCTATGGTCTATGGAAGACCATTTTAAAGATATTATTTTATTGTCTTGCAATTCTCTCTGCTGCACTACAGATCTAAATCATTTATTTGTACACAGAAAGGTCAAACAAGCTCAAGATGTATGCAAGTTAATTTAAAAATGCTCGAATTCCATCAAGACTCGTTCTTGGAACCTTTTGGTGAATTCATTTTCTGATGGGAGCTGAGCTCTCTATCCTTGGACATGCCCAAGCTTTCCATTGCTGTGAATGCGCCACTGTGAAATCAATATATCAGATTCTTGGGATTATATGTAGTATGTTTCTGGGATCTGTGCATGTTTTATCAATCTTTTGCAATGACATGGCGTGACTTTCAGGGTATCAATTTTATTGATGTATGGTGGTTTGGATTTGAGTGATTACATATTTATAACTGGAATGTGAGGGTGGATGTGACTTCATAACCATGGTTCATTCTAATGAAACTATGTATCAAATGTGTCTAATGTCCGATACAGAGGTCGCATCATCTTTCTGGGTAACTTCTCTTCATGTTAGCATTTGGCAAGAGCAAAGGATTCCATCCATTTTGCCACTCAAACTATAGGAATTGTGCCATGTGGCAATACGAGTGTCCCTTCTCCCTTGTATTTCAAGTATGATATGAATGTAGGATGTGCATGTAATCCACTCGGCTTCGAACAGACTTTATGGCCTTGCATTGGGAATATCTCTCCATGAAATAAAGTGCATAAGTACGGAGATATTTCCGATGCAAGGCTGTAAAGACTGTTTGAACGGGCCTTGCGCTGACTGAAGCCGATTACGAAAAAGTTGAAAATATGGAAGGCAGATAGGTTGTATCCTATAGACTGTATTGGAAAAGAGTGGCATAATACTTTCATTGCCGACACTATTGGGGTGGTTTTGGTTCATCCAATATTGGGTTTGGGCTTCTTAACGTCCACAAAACCCAATTTATGTTTGGCTCCATGAAGTCACATCACATAAGAGGAGTCACTTCAATCCAAAAAAAAAAAAAAATCATGTAAGGGACTGATCATTCTGGTTTAGAGTTGAAATTGACATTTCAGGTAAAAACAGCAACGGTTTAGAGTTGAAATTGACATTTCAGGTAAAAACAGCAATTCATATTAATCAGCCCAAGACTTCTCTGATTTTTCACACCAATTTCTATTGATCAACCCTAAACGTTTCATGAAGAAACGGCAATGGTACCAAGCGCTAATGGGTCATGCAGTGTCAAATACATTAGCTACCATATAGTTGGGATAAAGCTTGGATGATGATGATATCATGTCCACTACGAGACCAAATCAGCCCCCCACAACGTCTCACAACACATCCCCGCTGTGTATTGGAAACATCTCCCAATGATAATCTCAGAAATGATGTCATCATCGGGAGATGTTCCTTATACACGGCGGGGATGTGCTGTGGGACATTGTGAGGGACAATCTTGTGGGGGGCTGATTTGAACTTGTCCACTACATAATGTCATAACCACTTCCTTATAGAATTATTCATTGAGTCATCCACATTGGATTTGATATTGGGACTTCCAGACAACAGATAATTTATTGGGATAAGTGGACTGCAATCCACCTCAGAAATCTGAATTGCAGCCCCTCCTAGTCTACTAGTAGTCCCCCCCTATAAACCACATCCTGCCCATGAATTTGACATCAATCCACAGGCAGAATCCAATCCACCCCTAGAAATCCTATCTCCACCCTAGGGGTGGACTGAACTATAAAAACCCCTAATTCATGTTCCTCTAGGAAAGCGGTGGCCTCATTTTACTTACCATGCTCGGTTTGGAGAACAATCTGATCTGATACCACAGAAGAAGAATTTGGTGAACTATTTCCAGAGTTTGGTTGGTGATTAGAATTCTTATCTACTGTCAACATTGATGGGCCCAGATCTCACATCAATTGCAGTGTCCTGGGTTGAGTGGATTCATGGTGCGTCTGGTAGTAAATCCAGAACAAACAACAACTAGGCCCACGCTTTAAAGAGACTTCTTACCAAATCAATGGAATCTTGCTTTACCAAAATGAATGCCTTGTTTGAGCTCGGTAGGTGTGTGTATGCAAAAGCAATCTAATAAGTAAAGAAGAAAAGATTTGAAGCCAATGTCCAGAAAATAACATTTTCATCATCTCTTCTTCCATTTCCTCTACCACAGCTTGGAGAGGAAAACAAGCCAAAGGGTGATTGCTTCTGCTGCTGCTGCTATTGCTGTTGTTGTTTGGTGCTGGTGATGGGGAAGACCTGTTGCTGGGAGGAATCAGAAGATGGTGGTTTGGACATCAAGGGATTTCTGTTGGCAGTCACCCTTGCCGTCATGTTCTTGGTCATTTGTGTGTCTCAGCCACGACGCAGAGTTGTCGTCCATGAAAGATGGTGTTACTGAAACGCCCATGATTTGGTCTTTTACTCTAAGTGTAGCTCTTCTTCTTTTGTATTAAACCTCTTATTATTATTACTAAGATGAATTGATGATGATGATGATGATATTCTAAGTGTAGATGAAATATTTCCATGGTGAAAAGGCGTTTTTGTCTTGAGGGTGAGGAGAGTTTGATCTGTAACGGTGTTGGTTTCTTTTTTTTTTCATTTATATAGGGCAAGATACAACCATTAAGACTCACCCACAGGTGCAAGCATATGCGTTTGGCCTGTTACCAGTTACCACGCAGCAAAAGAACTGATCTTAATCTTCTTCTTCTAGGAACCTAATTCTGTTCTAATCCCCATGACCTATCAACACTTTGCCAGAACTATCATAGATGCATCGTTAACCAACAGTTATTAGTGGGTTGGATTATAGAATTGTAGCCGTTTTTTCAAGAGAAATAGCCATCTCCATGTTATATAGGTGTTTTAAGCAATTTCTTGTTTGATTGATTTTTTTTTCTTTTGAACCTATCGACTGAGCCACCGTCAGTTGGCAATTTCTTGTGTGATTGATTGATACAGGTAAAAGGTGGATGCAACTTTTTACATTGATTTCTGTGAAAATCACTTTTCCGGTATTTCTCTCATGTGGCGCTTAATGATACCTGTGTGTCTTGAATCACACAAAGAACGAAATTTTGATAGACTCACAAAAATTGTGCCACTTTTCAGTTGCTCATTCATAATATGCCACATCATCATCTTATTGTTGATTAATCTTGTTTATTGGTTATATTTCTTGCCAAGGTTTTAAAAACCGGATCAGACAGAACTGTTCTAGGGACCGGTTCCCGAGTCAAACGGTCTAATCATCCAGTTCAAACGGACAGTCCGTTATAACTTAAAAAATAAAAAACGGCCAAAAACAATGGATTGACAGTTCAACCACCCGGGTCAGTGGGTCACTGATCAAATCAACGATTTTTGACCAAAAAGAGGTTTTAGGGCGCAACAGAACTGGTTACCTGACCGTTCCTGGGTCAACCGGTCCAACTGTCAGGTCTGGTCCAGTTTTCAAAATAGTACCTAAAAAAGGATATTGATTAAATAACTTTACAAACCAAAAAATAGTACCTAAAATATCCAAAATCATAGGATTTTTCATAATGTAGGCCTCCTGCTTGTCATAAGGTTCACTCATCATTCTTCTTTTTCTCTTTCTTCTTGCTTTGCATCTTATTTTCTTCTTCATGTTTTCTCTTCTTTTTCTTCTTTTTTCCTTCTGCCTCTGGTTCAACATCTTGCCCCTCATTTTGAATTTCAGCACTCTCAGCTTCAGCCTTCTTTTTCTTGTTCTTTTTAGTTTCTGCCTCTTCCCTTTCGGGTTCCACACCACTATCCTTGTTATTTTGTAGATCAATGTCCTCAGCATCAGTCTTCTTTTTCTTCTTCTTTTTCTTTTCCTTCTTCTCATCACCTGTAACTGGTACCCCTTCAACTGCTTCTTGGGTCTGAGATAGTGGTGCTTCTCCATGCTTCCTCTTCTTTGGACTAGTGTCTTCATCCTGTTTCTCCGCCTTCTCAATGACTGGTTCAGTAGTCCGTCCAAGTATTGAATCAGCAGAAGTATTATAAGTCTAAACATGGAAACAAGAGTCAGTCATCAAATCACTATAGAATTTACTGAAAGAAAAAGCAGGATATGTGAGTGAGAGTGTGTGTGTGTGGTGGGGGGAGGTCACACCTTAGCAGGAGTTATCAGTGCCCCTGCACCCTTCTTCCGGTCTTTGTCATAGAACTCTATCTTCGGTTTGCCTTTAGTTGATCCAGCTGAACGGCTCAATTCTCTGCCCTCAAGATTCCTCAACCGAGCCTCAAGCTACAAAAAGAGTTAACATGAAAAGGCAACATCCAAGGGAAAAAAAAGGAAGTTAGCCTAGAGAAGAGACTTGTGTTTCCATATTACCTTGGCTCGATTCTCTAGCCCCATAGAGTTATCTTGACCATCTCCCAGAGCATCATATCGAATGGCTAATGCAGTCTTAGCTGCAAGTGACCGAGAAATTTTCCCCTTGAGCTTTGGAGCTGCCTGGCCAATCAAGGATGCATGGAAGATAAGTCCATATTTGGGGGTAGCATGTTTGGTTTTCAAAGCTCTAAAGAGGGCTTTCTCTGCACCAAGGATCTGGACAGTGCTTCCAGGCTGCTTTGCAAGATTCAACAAGCTTCCTCCATGTGCAATAAGACGAGCACCAACAAGCTCCCCAACAAGAGCAGTCAAATTAGGGGCAATGGCATTCATTCTGCTTTTCAAGTAGTCATATAGTTGAGCTCTATACTCTGAAAGAGCCAACACTTGATCACATAGGTCCCTGATATTCATCAGATCTAGGTCACTGACTTCAGTTCCCATGGAAATGACTGCTGCCTCTTTCAGTTCTGTCTCGACCTCTTCTGGTAGTATCTATGCATACAAAAAATACAGCATGTTATTCATAGACATCATTATTTTCAAAGGTAATCTCTTTACAGTAGAAATCAATCTCCAACCACATTGTCATGCAAGGAAATAAGAAATGGAAAAAAAAAAGAATGCAAATGGACCAGAGAATAACACACAGAATTTACATGGTTTGGGGCTTGTGTGCCCATGTCCATGTAAGATCCTTGTGAAATGAACTATTCTTAATTCAACCTTAGCGAACAAACAAGTTTATATAGAGACCACTGAATTACATTTCTTAGGGTTTCTAATTTGTCTACAACTGAGAATAAAACATATACTGCAAATACCCTGTACAATCAGTGTATGAATGAATCACAAACCATTTGGACTGGGGGTTCTGCCTCTCCGCTCTGCGTAACCCCTCCCCCCCCCCCCAGGCCCCAGTGCCTTTCTTATTCCCTTGTCCTTTTAATATAAGACACCATTCATCACCATAGTTGTCAAGGCAACAAGGCGCCCCTGGAGGCTCACCTCACCTAATTGCCAAGCAGTTTTCTATAGTGTGTTATAAAAAACTTTTGTATTTTTAATCTTTTGACATTATAATTATAAAATAAATATTTTTAAATTCATTTTGTGTGTTTATATACTAATTTCTTTTTTATTATTTTCTTATTTGTTAGGATTTAATCAACACAAACATTGCTAAATGCTGTATTGAACCCTCAAAGACTTCAAAACCTGAACCAATAAGGAAGAACATAAAGTGTTGTCCAATCAACACATTTTCTTCTTTTTCTTTACTAAATTTTGTGTGTTTATATGCTAATTTCTTCTTCTTCCACCTTCTATTTTCTTCTTTCCTATAACAGAAAGAGGGGTTCAGCCCCTATATTTTTTGAATTTTCTTTTCTTTCTTTTTTTCTTCTCATGAATATGTTGGAATATGTTGATTTTCTATACTTTAACATGAAGTTTATACTTTTCTTATGAAAAGTATAGATATTTATTAAGGCTATATGATTATGGAACCTAGGGCACTACCCTAGGATACATGCTTTTACTTAAAAAAATCCATCACCTAGGCGACTAGGCACCCCCCCCCCCCCCCGTGGCCTAGCCTCGCCTTGGTGCCTTGAAAACTATGTTCATCACACACAATCAACATATAATTGCTGATGGATTTTTAATTAGGAGTTTGTTTGGTGGAACCCATCAAGCATAGTTTTCAAGGCGTCTAGGTGATTCTGGGTGACACTAGGGCGCCTGCCTAGTCACCTAGGTGATAAAAAATTTTATAATATAAAAAACTAACTTTTAGTTAGTTCCCTAGTTTTATATACCATTCAGCATGTATATTATGTGAAAAAATAGCAATTCTCTTTATTAAGAACATTAGATTTCCTCTAAAAATGTGGCAAATCATCACATCTAAAAGATAAAAAATCTTTTACATATATTAATTTCATTATTTTCAAAAATAATACTACAATAATAAGTTTTAATAGAGCAATTTCATATCAATTAGCAGCTAAAAAGGTTATTAATTATATATGATAAATATTCAAGATGGAAAGTAAAATATAAAAAACAAGGATGGAGTTTCTATTTTATTTAATTAGAGAGAGAGAATAGAAAAAAAACTCTTTATAATTCTATTCTTTCTATCATCCTTCTTTTTTCTTTCTTTTTCTCTCCTCAAAACCCTTTGGTCTTTTAAATTTCAATAGTAAAACATTAAACCAAAGTATAATTGATATATATAGCATATAATAAAATGTATTAAAACATACATTAATGTGATACAACAATATAAATGATATTATAAAAGACGCTCGCCTTGTCATTTTTGTCGCCTAGGTGGGCATCTAGTCACCTAGAAGAGTGCCTAGTTGCTAAAAGTCAAGACGTTTGGGCGAGGCGCCCAGCCAAGGGCGCCTAGTCACCTTGATAACTATGCCATCAAGTAACAAATCCCACTGAGTATGAATATGTGTTACCTATATGGCATTAAGATAATAACCTTTCAATATTACTTTTAAGACACATGGAAGGATAAGTGAACAGAGTTCTACCTCAGAGAAATCAAGTTTTCCAGCATTTGAACGATTTCCCATAAGTTTCACTGCCTTTGCATAGAGGATATTGTCTTGTACAATCTTTGCAAGTTCTGGAAAATGCCAACCATACCATTCCCGGACTCTCATTGCGTAAGTGTTAAGCTCTTTGTCAAGATCATCCAACAAACCGATTGCCTGAATAATCATTGTATCCACCTGAAGAGAGCCAAGAAAACTGCAAGTTAATGCATTAACATCAACCCAATGGTTAGTTAGAGAACAACAAAGATAAATACAATCTTAAGAAACAAAACCTTGAAAAGCAAAGCCCATATTTCTTTTGATAAACATTTAACATGTGATCTACTGGCCATATTGCAAGATGCTGGATATCAAAAGCTGGAATGAAGCATCCAGAGAGAGAGAGAGAGAGAGAGAGATACAGGTAGACCAAAAAAGGACATGGATATAGTAAGAAATAATTTAAGCACTAATAATTTAACAGCGGAGTAAACAGATTGGTGAAACAGGATTTATGTAGTCGACTCCATATAGTTGAGGGCAAGGCAAGTACAAGTTTTACTAGCAAGGGAAACAAAATGATAGCCATCATTACCAAACTGAAGAACTTGCAAAGACAATCAAACCTTCTTTTTTTATGAGCATACAAGTACTCAAACTTAATGGGCCTAATAGAACAAAGTTGTTGGAAATTGATGTATCAAGGCATGAAGAATGTCATCCTTTCTGCTGCCCAAACCTTAAGAGGATCAGGATCCAAACTGAGGAGTAAAACCAGGACATTGTCTATGACAACTCATCCTAACCAGATGATGGTGCAGCAGAAATACTTATGAATAAATAGGTAGAGTCAAAATATTCTGGAATCATTCACCAATCACCATATTTGTTCAGCTGATAGAGTGATCTATTAGGATCATCCCATCAGAGTTCATCTTTTGACCAGCATATCTAACACTAGCAACCATGGGCTACTATCTTGAATATGTGTATGTGTACAAAGTAATATACAGAAGAAAACCACACAATGAAGCAGACATATTTCTTAATTCATTCAATCAGAAGTAAGGTTTTCACAGTTGAACACGAGTGCATTACAAACAACAAGGTAAAAAAGAAAAATGATAGACTTGAAATTAAAACAACCTTATCAGGGCTAAATTTTAGCTTGTATCTAGACAAGCTGTGAGATAAGCCCAAGCTCATCGGAGCCAAATCTTGGACTGCTAGACCAGATATTAGTTCAGTCAACTGACTTCTCACACCTCTCATCAGCTCCATCACAGCATTGTTGTGCACACATTCTATTTTCTGCAAGAAATTATGGATTCCAATTAGTATGGGATGATGAAGGCAGTAAATACTAATATGGAATCTATGAGTTTATATTATTCAGTTCAGGGCTTAACATACCAATTTTTCCTTTATTGCATTTCCAAATTTTGAGTCTGCCACTGCTAATGTTTCCCCATCACAATGAGCACGCAAGAACTTGCGAAGAGCCTTGCTAGGCTTGCTATCAATCAGCAAGGTTGCTGCTGACAAAGCTTCAGAAGTGTTCTCAAATTTGGAAAAAGCTTTCAGCTTCACTACCTGAAGGTGATGTAAAATCATATAGTTGAGAAGAAATCTAAGCAGAAACATGGCACACAAAACCTAATATCAACATTGAAAACATGCAGGCCACAACAAAAAAGAAGCAATTCAAAAAGCATAGTATTGTATCTAGCACCCCACAGTTCATTACATAGATACCTTACTGGGGCCTAAAAGTGCCAGCATTCAAATCTCCTACAGGTAAGATTTGACATGATCGAGGAACCAAAAACAGGATTTCCAATTAAATGAGTTAATTTGCAGTCTAAGAAACTAGCAGTTGTACAACAGGGCTATGATAGTGCAATGAGAAAATGGGATAACCAGTTTTCACATGAAAAAACAAAACAAACCAGTGTATGTAGTTTCAAACAAAGGCTTTTTCGTGGGATAGGTTCAAATAAAGGTTTGCACTGAAGCCTTTTTTTTTTAACTTACTAGGACCACATTTTGTTATACAGAAGGGGAATGAAAACAACCTGTTGCTCCATATAATTTTAGGGTGTAAGGCTGCAAAAAGGTTTTTTATTCTTTCCATCAAAACAAAAACAGTCCAAAAGTTGGGGGGCAGAGGAGAAAGTCAACCGCGCAGAAGAAATATATCCATTTAATGTTAAGCCAAATACTTCTAGTGTCGCAGGTAAGTCAGTTTGTTTCAAAGAATCTTAAAGCAGACTATTTGAAGAAACCGTTTGTACACCCACTTAATCGTATATTCTACCTTAAAGTAGTCTAGTAAGCAAATTAGGTCAACTCTTTACTTCAGTTGCAAGGGATTGAACTGCACTTAGTTGGAAAATGATAGAAACTATGGTGCTTCCTAATCTCCATAGAGAGACTTCCATTTTTAGCAGAAGTTGAAGACCATGGTGTTTGATAGTTCATTCTGAAATGTTGATGAACAGAGTCATTCTTACTTCTGTTTTATTTTAAAGGGGAAAGGGTGGTCCAGGAGAGAGAATGTGATGAACAAGGTAACATGATATCCAATATTAAGTAGAAGCCACACTCCTCATAGCCATGTGACAGCCAGGAGAGAGAATGTAATGCTGCAAACACATATAACATTGACGCATTCCTATAAAATCCCTCCTCCGTGATAAAAAATGGTTGTTTGTTCATAATAATTACAATAAAGACTGTTAATCGCACGCCATTACTCAATGTTAATCACATATAAACATAAAAGAGGAGGAGGACGACGACGGACAGGATTTCTGATTTCTCAGTTGCAACGTTCGAGAGGAAGAGAGAAGAAAAGGATAAGCATTACCTTTCTAGCAGATTCTGAAGTTGAAAACTCCTTCCACAAGTCCTGCAATCCAGACTGAGCATAATTAGGAATCCCTGGACCTTACCTTATCAAACGTAAACAACCAACCATATACAGATAAAGATCAGGGAAGACATGTATTACTTCGACTTTAGAGAGCTTCCCTTCATCTAATACTTTGAACAGAGCAAAGCCCGCAGGAGTCTCAAACAACAAGAGCATTTTCAACACTCAGTCACCTAAAGAACAAATCAGCACAAACACCTGATGTTAATTGACGAACAACAAGCTACCAAATATACTAGTCCTAATTCTTTCTTGTAAAGAAAATACCGCCTTTATGATCTCTATAGTTCGTAGTAAACCATAGAACATGCCAACGGCAGGAAGCAGAAGATATACTTTTCAGAGCACAACAAATGAAAACAAGGGAAGAAGATGGAAGTTTGGGGCTGTAGGAATCCATAGTTTTCGGTGATGGAGGTTTACTGGTTTTCAACGGATTTGAAGGTTTCGAGAAGTGGGGTCTGAGGTTTTCGGGTTAAGGGATTTATCAGTTCGAGAGCAGAAGATTAGAATGGCAGAATCACTCTTCCGGGGGGAAAAAAAGAAGTTTAAAAAACGTCTTTGGCGGAGAGACTAAGATTTGAAGGAAGGAAGCTATAGACCTGAAATTTATTACGGGATGAGTTGATTAAGGTAGGAGATGGATGTTCTGGGTGCGTAATGTAAACTTGCAGAGGAACCCTAAACAGCAAGGAGCAAACATTCACCTGTTGTTGTCTCTTGGTGCTTGATAGAGGAACACGAGTCAATCGTACATGCAGTGAGACAGTGATAAAGAAAGAAATGGGCTTTAGTAGGGTTTATTGGTTTAAAGCATGGACTTCGTTGAACGTTAGGGTTGTTGAATGAATTATGTGCGGTATAGAGTCCGACTATGACACCGTACCGAAATGGTATTATATTTTATAAAGTCCAACTTTAATATTTTTTCTTTTTCTTTTTTTTTAATTTTTTAAAACTATTCTTATGATTTAGTTAATTGACAAAGTATATCATATTGTTTAATACTAGCAGAAAATTACCATTGTTGTTAAAATATTAATAGAAGGTCTAAAATGTCCGTTTAACTCTTTATCTTCCTCGATTTACCTTAGAAATTGTCGATTACCGAAAGCAGTTGCCATGTTTAAACAAATTGTCTTTTGATTCTGTATAATGAACAGGAAGTTGGAACGGCGCGGAACTGTAGATCGGACAATAATAATCTTAAATCTCCTCTCACCAGATGGGAAAAGCAAATCGGAAGAAACAAGAAGCCGAAATCGTCAAAACTGCATATCAGAACTACTGGAATGTAGATTGGACAACAGTAGTCTCGGATCTCCTCTCACCAGAGGGGAAAAAGGAGATTGGAAGAAACAGGAAGCCGAAACCATCGGGACTTCCGGGACTGCAGAGGTTAGAGAGGAGAAGGGAGTGTCGCTGCTCTGCCACTACATCGAGATTGGGAGGGTATAGAGCTTTGGAGCAAATTAAAACCAAGTAAATGCTCGCAAACCTAGCTCTCTGTGTGTGTGTCCAGTTTGGAACTAACCAAGGAGCTTTGTTTGGTTCCTTCCTTCTCTCCGTCTCCCTCTTTCCGTCGCCAACAACCTTTAGCGCAAGAGTGAAGAGGAGCTTTTGTTTTAGACTTTAGAGGCTGCGGTGAGATTCGATTACATCGGAAAACATTCAGTAAGGAACACCAAGGGGTGAAAAAACTGCATACAGGGCTTTGGAAATTTCTTTTCTTTAAGCTGGAACTCTGCAACCTGACTTAACTTCTTTGCTAGGTCTCCCTTGGAACTAACTTCCTTTTCTTATTTCTTTGAATAGGACCTTCTGCTTTCCTAAAGGAGGTGGTGTGTTTCCTTCCACTCTTTTAGTAGAGATTTCTTGCCAAAGTTATCATTTTACCTCTTCATCGGAGATACTTCTTTTGAATGTTATTTTCTTGTTGGAATTGAAAGGGTAAGAGAGGACGATGAGGGAGGGGAAAAGAAGAGAAGAAGGGAAAACAATAGGTTAAATAGGTTTTAAGAGAAAAAGGGCAAAAAAAGAAAATAGAAAAAGTTTAGTGGGGTATTTTAGTAATTTAACACATTCTGTCGTCTAACTTAACGGTAAAGGGGGGTCCTTGTCTCAAAGTCATAGTACGGGGGGGTCTTTATTGCAAAACAAAGTATTTGTAATTTACCCTAATTTTTTTCTTTGAATTTCAGAAACGGATAGGCTTCTATTCAAGGACTCTATAACGGATTCATCAGATCTCTGCCTCGAGTTGGTCAGACGCCAAACCAATAGCATTTCCATCATCTTCTGATCTGCACTATGCACTCATTCACTTGATTACATAATTTTAATTTCTTGGTTTGGTTAATATTCAATTAACTCTTCTAGTTCATGTAGACCGCGTCAATGTCAAATTCTAAGATCGGAAAGGGGTGGTCACGACAATGTGCAGTTCGGAAAGGGGGGTTTGGACTTTGAACTGAGGTTTAGGTCTCAAGTGCCAAATTCTAATGAGCTTCAAACAATGCCAAAGGAGCGGCATGAGTCTGAGAGAGTCTGACATCTGAACTCTATCTTCGGCTTCATTAGGTGAGGAGAGAGAGAGAGTGAAAGAGAGAGAGAGAGAGATTCAAAAGGGTATTTTTAGAATTTTTAAAAAATATGTCACATGATGCCATATATGACCAAGTATGACGGAAAGTTAACAGTTGAGGAGGTTTTAATCAATTGTTGGAAAACTTAAGGGTACTCTAAGACAATAATTAAACAGTAAGGATATAATTAGCCAATTAGTTAAATAGTAGGGGTAGTTTAAGAAATTTGCCCCTTTTTTTATTTGGTGTCATGCACCATTAATAACTTTCCCTTAACCCTCCTTTTCCCCAAAGTGTTGGTTGCGAGATTCAATTCTACGTCAATACTGGAACAAACCATCTAACATACCAATGAGCCAGCCTTCGGTTGGTAACGTTAATACCTTTTTGGTATATATAAATTAAATTTAGAAAAAGTATATTAATTTGGAATATTATGGTATATATATCGTGAGTTTTGAGGAAATTAATAGTATATACCTTTTTTTTGGCATTGAATCATCGCCTTGTGCCCCCATTAGAGGCCTTATTTCATTTTAAACACTTTTTTCAACAACAATCTAATTTCTTGTCAAAGGGGTGATGAGTAGACCTTTCATGGGTCAAGCCAGGCTTTTTCCTATTATCAACGTAAAATATTCAAGCCCGAGCCCAAGCCCAGCCCTCATAAAAGCATGAGATCCGAGCTCGAACCCGAAGCCTAAAGGTTGTAATATGATTTTTTTTAGGGCAAATTTCTTAAACTACCCTTATGGTTGCTAATTGATTAACTCTACCCTTACTGTTTACATATTGTCCTAAAGTACCCCTACTTCTAATAATTGTCTAAAGCCTCCCTTGCCATTAACTTTCCATCATACTTTATTCACATGTGACATAACGTGACTGATAATAATTCCTAAAATACCCTTACTATTCCTATCTTCGCTCAGTCTTGCCCCAAACCACTCCCCATCTTCCATTGCAATCAAGCTGAATATACCTTCTAAATCCGTCATTATCCAAGGATCAAAATATCAGTATTGGGTATTGTATCGGACAACTTGGATATAGATACAGATACAAATATGGATACGGATACAGATACACTTTGGAAACACATGGATACAGACAAAAAATGTGAAAACACTTGGATACATTAGGAAAATAAATATAAATCCCATATACATATTATTAACATTAAGTTTACTATCAAAATACCTACAAATAATGTATAAATACATAGAAATTGTATATTTTAATGGTATATATGAATAAATATATTACAACTAATATAGCGGGATGCATATATATCATACAATTTTATTGATAACACATCAATCAAGAGTCCAAGACACATTATATAGATTTTTACAATTTAATACATGCACAAAGCCATTATTATTTTATTTTTTTTATTAAAGTCTAAGGCACAAAACATATGCAACTAATCTATTTGAATTATTGTATCATTTTTCTATTTTACTATTTATAATTTTAACATTAACAACAATGTCAACTAAAAAAAAATAATTCTCAAATTTTTGGAAAATAATATTTTCATTTTTGTGAACAATAAATATGTTATTACAAAATTTAAATTAAAATGTTAATTAATAATTTATAAAAATATAATACCAACTTAAAATATATCAAATTTATTAAATTTCAAAGTTACATATCATATGAAAATTCATAAATTTTAATTACTAAACTAATTATTCCATTATTTATATTTTATTTTTAAAATAAAAAAAAATATTTTTTGATATAAACGTAGATTAGTGGATTTGATAGATTCAATTCATATTATATTTTCTAATATTTTGAAAATAATAATTTTATTTTTGTAAATAAGAAATAAATTGTTATTTAATGCAAATTAAAATATTAATTAATAATTTATAAAAACTTTAAGATACATATCATGTGCAAATTTATAAACTTTAAGTATTAAAATAATTATTTTACTATTTAAATTTCTTGAAATTTAAAATAATTTTTTGATATAAATGTGTATTTGATAAATTATTTATTTCATTGATTTATAAAATAATAATTTTAAATATTGTTCTTTTTAATTTGTAACCAAAGTTGTTGAAAATGAGTGCGTTTTATGTAGATATTAGAGTTAATAAAACTAAATAAAACTATTTTTATTTCATTTATCATCGTTAAATAAAGCTTGGCTTGATGGTTAAAAGCGCATATGCAGTTTAGTGCTAAGTGACTTGTGTACCTGGGTTTGAGTCGTGCTGGAAGCTTTTTTTTTTTATATATATATTTTGGATTTTAATTTGACTTTGACTAAAGCTATCTATTTCAGTAGTTGAATGGTCATAATTCCTGAATGTAATATCATTTAAACAAAATCTATAATCAGTAATTTATACTCAAAAGTTTTGAAACAATTTTGTAATATGTAAAATTTAAATTTTTATTTCAAAATTTTTGAAATAATCTATAATTTATTCAAAGCAAATAAAAACCTATGGTCAAGAAGAAAACGGTACATGAGAGCTCTATAGTCAAGAAGAAAACCTAGGCGAGAAAAGAACTACGACAGTGAGAAAAGAACAACGACGGTGAGAAAAGAACGGCGTTGACGACTTGGTTGTTGTAGAGAGTGAGAGTTAAGAGGGGAGAGAATGGCAACAACTTGGCAAATGGCAAGGCAAGTTAAGCGACGACAAGAGAGGAGAAGTGAGAAGAAAATGTCAATTGTGAAGTGTTGAGTGAGGGTTTAGGATTTTAGGGTTGGCCGGTTAGGGGTTTAAGGAATAGATTTCCTCATTTACCCCTAAGAAATTTTATCTATTCCATTAATATATAAAAGTATATAATATAAAATATATTTATATTTATAAATATGTCAAACTCAGATTTTTATCGATCGGATGGGGGTGAATATGAGTTTGATCTGATTTTTAATCAGATTCTACTTCTACCATCCAAATCCAATCTGATATGGCATTTACCTCATCCGAATCCGAGATTATTGGATCGGATATTGGATTGGGTCGCG